AGACAGCTTAACATAAGTTTTATTGCACCATCAGTATTATGAAAATACATCTTCTGGAGAAATTTACATACCTTGTTGGGAGGAATAAAATCAAAATGTTCCCACACAGGGGAGGACATCCTCCTCCTCTTCTTAGCTGGCTCCATTCTCTCCTGACTTTCTCTCCTCACTCTCATAAACCTCCAAACTCTCACTAACCGCAACTCTCCATCAAACACCCACATTTTGAATGAAGTCTGAGGGGTTTATATCGCTGTCATAGCTCGCGGCAAAGTTCGAACCACTTCATGAACCAGTCACGTGGTACAGCCAGGCAGCGAGGCTTCGGACGTCATCATTTTCAGCTCCTCCCATAAATGAAGCAAGCCTCGATACGCGCATCGCGGAAACGCCTCCTCCATTACTCGACACAAGCTTTGAAGCCTCGATACAGAACGTCACATCACTACTTAGAGGTTGTCTAAGAGAATATTGGGAGCAACAACACCGTGAAGTCCAAAGAACACACCAGACATGTCAGGCATAAAGTTATTGAGAAATTTAATATAGCAGGCTTAGCCTACAAAAAGATTTCCCAAGCCTTGAACATCCCATAGAGCACTGTTCACATTGCTTGTGAGTATGAAGACAAATGCACGTTTCTTTGATGTTTTATTCTTCCCACAGTTAACAGAAGAATCTTTGTTACACAAGTAATGGCATAAGTGCAAATCCCTTTTTAGCAGATGATCTTTTTTTATATACAACACTGGCAACTACGTTAACAGTGGACTATGCAGCTCACTTCATAAGTATAAATTAGGACTGAGATGACAGCCATGAGCTGTATTTCAGTTTGTTGATGGTAACTCACAGGAATAGATTGCGAGTTGTTCACACAGTCGCCAGCGTTCACATGCTCTCTGCAGATAGACTGTCCAGCCCCCAAACAGACTGCAAACGCGCTACTCCCGCTGAACCATAATTTCCGCGATTTTTGACACGTCCGCGTTGTCTTCGTTTTTTGGCTCCGCAGGTTGTTGGAAGGTTGTGATTTCTGCAGGAAAACTTTCTGCATGGTTGACTTTGTAACATTTTTGTGTAACAGTAGAGAATGTTTAACACTTTTACAGCTGTACTTTGAACCGAATCATCCCATCGAAGTATTATATGGGCTTTGAGAGTCAAGC